GCACAACATTGATTTGCTGATAATTCAGATAGCATTTACCTGTTTTGACTTTGTTTACAATTTTTTTAATTGTCACAGTATTAGCTTAAACTGTTATATTTCACTAGTAAAACTATTTAAAACATTTAACTGCAATATTTTAGTGCTCTTTCTACTGCTAACATTTCAGATGAGCCTTTTAAGTACTTTTCATTTCAGTTACAAAAGAACATTTTCTATCAATATTTTCATTTTTCTTAATCTATTAAAATATAAAGTCAATCAAAATGAATTTGAATTGTTGATTTTTTTTGTTGTCTTTTTGCAAAGTGAGTGATGCTGTGATAGATTGGCTAAAGATCGGCATCGGCCGATAATCACATTTCATGACTCAATCAGTACTCGCTGATCTGGCCATTCTCATGAACCGATTGCAAGTGTGATTGTTTATGAGAAAGTTATATTATCTTCACAATATTGCAGGTTCACTAAAACCTAGCTGGAAATATAAAGAAAATAAAAACACTTAAAAAAAAAAAAAAAAAATATATATATATATATATATATATATATATATATATATATATATATATATATATATATATATATATATATATTTATTTATTTTAATAATTAATGATTTTAATAATATATAATTTTTTTTTCTTATTTTGAGCCCCCCTAAAATGAAAATCTTAAAATTGGCCCTGGGTACAGTTATATAAAGCTTGAAGCATCAGAATCGGTACCCTATAATCAACCAATCACTATGACAAGGTATTGGTACTCTGTATTGGCTGCAAAACACCTGATCGGACCATCCCTAGATGTAATCTAATTAAAATAACAATTATGAAATCATCATAGACATATAAAGTGCTCCTAATGCTGAGCTGTTCTAAACTAGATCAGTAGTCATTTATTTTCATTCAACTTAGTCCTTTATTTATCAGAGGTTGCCACAGCGGAATGAACCATCAACTATTCCATCATATGTTTTACGCAGGGGATGCCCTTCCAGCTAAAACCCAGTACTGGGAAACACCCATATACTCACACACACACACACACACACACACACACACACACACACTACAGCCAATTTAGTTGAGTCAATTCACTTATAATCGCATGGCTTTGGACTGTAGGGGAAACCTCCCACACCAATACAGGGAGAACATGCAAACTCCACACCGAAATGCCAGCTGGGACTCGAACCAGCGACCTTCTTACTGTGAAGCGACAGTGCTAACCACTGAGCCACTGTGCCACCAGATCAGTAATCAGCGCATTGTAAAAAAAAAAAAACTAAGAAACACAAAAAACAACCCAGCTACTATATACTATGCTAAAAGTTTTAAGCATGAAACTAGTTATCCACAAAGCCTCATGTTCACACTGCAATGCCAACACATGCAGTTCACCAAACACTCCTCATCTCCTTTCCACAACTGCTAATTAGCAACTAGCAGCACTGCAGAAACAACCTGGAAGAGCTGATTAAACAGAAGCAAACGGGTGTCTCTTTTTAAACTTTTAAATGAGAAGATGTTAGGAGCTTTAGGCTTGCTGTATTATTACTCACTGTGAAGCTGAGTGCATTTACAGCACATCCAGGATCATGTTTAATGAGCTGACAATGCATGTGGTCAGGTAAATGCATTCCTATATGGGAGTAAGGTCATATATGGCATAAGCATAAGATGATCTTGACAGCATCTAAATGCATTAACGAGATTTGTGTTGCTTTATTGAGTGTGATACACGAAAGAAACATGTCCTTACTGTGGATTTAAGTGCATCCAGATGGAGGGATCATTTTGAAGTAACGGAGGAGGAAATATACCACAAGCTCAGACTCTTTCTTGACCCAAAGACTCATAAAAACGCGTTCTCATCTCAGACACCAGAAATAGAAAGTGCTTCAATCAAAACTGCTGCATCATGAAAGAGTAACAAATGAGAATAATTATTTGCCTCAATCTGAATAAGACAATAATATGATTAAGGGCTGTTTCTCAAACCCAGACTTGGAAGAACGAACTCCCGAGGACGCAAGGACACAAGTCGGGTACTTCTTCAAATGGAACGGCAGTATACTTTATAACGTCACTTACCTCACCATGGATTCATCGGTTTCACTGTACATTAAAAATAAAATGATTTAATTATATAAAGCACGGCCCTGTAATTAATATTATATTGATATTATAAATCTACATTCTTGATTTAGGAAAATGTAAACAAATCTAAATAAATGAAGTGAAATGTGTTATACACAGACAAGTGTCTATGATTATCAAATTTAATAAACTACAATGGACATTATACAAGTATAAAGTACAAGACGTGCACAATAAGAAATGAAGATAACGTTAAGCAATTTGGTAAACAAAGACAAACCTCGTACAACACGGTAACAATTAAAGACAATTATAAAACGTAACAAAATAATACTGCCCAAATAATACACCTGAGAACAAATAATAGATTTAAAAAGACCAAAAACTGTCCGTTAGATCTTCACAAGATGTATTAAATATCATGTTTTTACTACAATGGAGAGATGAGATGCAGCGGTACATCTGAGATGGACTGGCCGAAGTAAAGCTGCTCTCGGCGGGGGAGGTGATGACGAAAATCCTGCTGGCAGGCTGGGAGTCGGGGTTCGCATAAGCTGAGGCACATCGTTAAAGATGCGCTTTCTTTGTGAATAAACTGCCGGTTCGAGCTTAAAACAACTACATTATCACCTGAAAAACTGTTAAAACTTTATTTTGTGACACAGTAAAGGAGTATTTTAAAAACCGTGAGGGTTTTTTCTTCCACCATTAGCATTTGCTGGTTAAGCTGCAATGCATTCTGGAATATCTACATATAATTTATTACAGTTGGTGTCCATCATGGCACCATGTGATTTTGGGCGTTTTGTTTTTAACTTTACAACATGTTCAACTGCAGTTAATTTCTCATACTATGTGCGCAAACAGACGACAACGGATACAAGTTCTTAAGCAACAGGCAGCAATGAGATACTATTGGGTTTCATTCACTGACTTTTCATTCATGCCCCTGCAACAAACTCAGAGGTACTGGATAAGAGCACAGTCATCGTTTCCCATTCCCACGAAAAATGTGCTCTCTTGTTTGAAGGTATTGGCTGTGTCCAGAATAGGCATGGGCCGGTATAAGATTCTGACGGTATAATAACGGTATTATGGTATTGTGATCACTGCTCTAAAATAAGTTATTTTTAAATGCCTGGGTAAAATAACAAAAACTTTTTCTAATGAACGCAGATTTAAAATATTTTGGAGCAATAAACATGTCTGGCTAAATGATTCAAATGAATCACTGTCTTTTGCTATCTTCCTTCGTTTCAAAAACACAGATTTATTTACAATTTACAAGACTTCTTTGGATATTTTTTTTGCTGGAGATACTGTTGTCCTAAAAAAAACTAAAAAACTACGTGAATAAAAAATCTGACACATACCTTAGGAACGGTAGTACAGAAAATGTTGGCGAGTTTTAAAACCTTGACTTTTCAAACGGCGGTATACCTTGAAAACGGTTATCATCCCATGCCTAGTCCAGAATCACATACTTCCATACTATATAGTACATTAAAAACAGTATTCGAACACAGTAGTATGTCCAAATACAGTGCATGGACAACACAAAATTACATTCTGCACACATTACAAAGTGCTTCCTGAGGAATACGAGGCTTATTCAAAAAATAAAATAAATTCACGAGGAACACATTAAATCTTTGTTTTATCGTCTGCAATCAAATACTAGTCAAAGTAAAATTTGAATCCCTACTTTCTTTTTTTATTTGCATTTTCTATACTATCCCAACTTTTCTCATACCCTCATAACCCTGGTTTTCCCAGGATTCTCACATAGTTTACAATTCTATCCTGCTATCATCCTGTAAAGATATTTTCCCATATTTCTCCCATATTTTTAATCTTTCTGTGAAGAGCAGCAATAAACATTAAAGAGCTGATCCTCCCTATACACAACCTATACCAACGAACAACAAGGGGACGCCCCTTGCTTTTAAAGGTGAATCTGTTCAGTGATTTCATTTTATTTAGGCAGGAAAACGCTGAAATAATTATAAAAACGGCAGGATTCCCTTCCTTTTCAATACAGGCACTGTTGCCCCTTCTATGCAATACTCAAAACAGTGAGTTCATGTAGCAGTGCGTGAAAATAGTGTTAATAAATATAAATACTGTTATAAATAGTGGTACCTCTGGGTTTTGGGTGCATGTTTTAAGAGACATATACACAATAATAATAATAATATCTGAACATGTCAATCTTGCTGAGTTCTTTAAAAACCAACAAATGTTGTCTTAGATGAGCATAAACAGTTAGGAAAGCAATCAAATGCATTCATTATAGATCTGTGCATTTTTAAAGTGACATCTCTGTTAATGTATTCAAACAAAAATCTAGATGAGAGATTTATCCGCTGCTTTTTAATCAGAATGTTTATACAGGGAAAAAAAAGATTAATGAGATTAATAACTTGATTTAATTTCATTACAATAGCTGTTCATTTTAATAGGCTAAACTGTTTGATAAATTATTTGCAGCTTTTTCTAATGCCTGCTATTTATTCTATCCTTTGTAAATAATAACAATATAAAAATATATTACTGACTGTTTTAATCACAATTTTGACAGGTATGCTTTTTCTGATTTGGGGTTGTACTACAAAATGTTAGTTTTATTGAGGTGTTTACATGTCTGTATTGTACTTCAATAATGTGACTAAAATAGGATGCACCACATGTCTTAACTCGATTACTGTTAAGTTCAATTGTGACTTATGAGAGATACTCAAATATCGCTGTTTACATGAAGACTCTTTAATCAGAGTATTGTCTTAATCGTATTAAAATCTGAGTATTAGTGTTCATGTGCTCATTGTTTATGTGAACAAGCTCACAGTGGCGAAATGAATCATCTCTTGTGTTTGGTGTGTGTGTTTGTCAACATACAGGTGCTGATTCCAACAGCGAGCGCAGTTCTTCTGTGAGCCAGCAGGACGCTTCACCTGCCCCGTCCAGCACGCGGACACACTCGCACCCGGACAGACAGCAATACTGGGACTTCGATCGTGTGGAGAGAAGCGACACCTCCAGCGTCTCTTCCTTCGAGGAGCTGGAGCTGGATTCGGACAGGTGCGAACACACTCTTCCAGCCCTCGCAACAGGCGGAAAACACAACCTGCAGGACCAGGACAGAGAGATCATGGTGGAGGAAGAGTAAGATGGAGAGCAGTGAATTGTGGGAAATGTGAGGGATGTGTTTTGACTTTGATAGTTCACTCAAAAATCAAAGTTCTGTCATTAGTTTTGTTCTTCCAAAAGGCTCATTTATACTTTGTTCGACCGTATTCAAATTTTACTTACATTTTATGAAGTAACAATAGTAGTTACAATTATTACAATGCTTTCAATTAAGGTTTAGATTTCACCTTTTCTTTTTTAAATTTTATTTTGTTTGTTTTTTGGATTATTTTACTATATAATAATTAACTACAAAATTTCAGTAATTATTTTCTCCAGAAATCACCAAAAAAAAAATTTATCAAAATGGTTTGGTGTTTTCCATGAAATATTTAAATTTTATTTAGACATGATATGTCCTGTTACTTTTTATTTGTTGTCATTTTAATTTTGCTGTAATTTCTTTAGCATAATTTGACTATAACAATTAATTATATAATTATTATCATTATTTTCCCTTCTAGAATCCACAATACAAGTCGTTCATATGGATTCCAAGAAATTTAATTTTTTTTATTTGAATGCAGTCATAATATTTTTGCAGTAATCTTTTTCTTCTAATTTTAGTTTTTTTTTTTTTGTTTTTTTTTTTGCATAATTTGACTACATAATAATTAATTATATAATTATTATCTGTATTTTTTCTCTCCAAAAACAAAAATGTAAAAATGATCCATATAGTTTGGTGTAGAAAGAAATATTATTTTTAATTTTATTTGGATGCAGTCATAATATTTTTAATTTGTTCTATTTTTTACATTTATTTTTTTTACATTATTTTACTATATAATAGTTAATTATATAATATCATTAGTATTTATTTTCTTCAAAAAACACAATAAATTGGTCCATATGGTTTGATCTATTCCAAGAAACGTTATTTTAATTTAGATATAGTCATGATATTTTTAGTTATTATTATTATTACTTTTTTATTATTATTTTTTTGTGCATTGTTTGACAATATAATAATGAATTATATAATTATTATTTATATATTATCTGTATTTTTTTCTCCAGAAACCACAATAAAAGTGGTCCATTTGGTTTGGTCTATTCTAAGAAATCTAAATTTTATTTGGACACAGTCGTAATGTTTTTAATTTATTGAAATTTTTTCTTTTTAATGTAGATATTTATTTGTTCTTTTAGCATTATTTTACTTTGTAATTATTAATTATATAATAATTATTGGTAGTTTTTCTCCAGAAACCACAGTAAAATAGTCCATATTGTTTGGTCTATTCCAAGAAATATTATTTTAGTATTAATTGGATATGGTCATGATATTTTTAATTTGTTATAATAAAAATTTTATTGCAATTTTTCACATTTTTATTTTATTTTTTACCATTATTTGACTATAGAATTATTAATTATATAATAATTATCAGTATTGTTTCTCAAGAAACCACAATAAAATTGCTTTGTATGGTTCTGTGCATTTTCAAGAATTGTTATTTGGATACGGTCATGATTTTTTTTTTTAATTTGTTGTAATTCTAATTTTGTTGTAGTTTATATTTTATAAAATTATAGAACATTGGGAAGGCAAAAATGACAGATTTGTGATATTTGGGTCAAACATACTTGTATATTGTCGAGGATGTGTGGGGAAAAAATTTTGTTAAAATGTTGTGTTCTTCAATTAATAAATTGACAAAGTTGTTTAGTCGGGATGGAAGAGAACAGTCAGGTACACAGTTGTGTCTGTAGACAAGAAATAACTACATAATTAAGCCAGGTAACCTGAATTTCTTGAAAACATCTTCCGCATTTTATTTCGTTCGTCCTCATTATTCAACCTGTTGTGTGATTGTCATTGATTTGTAAGTTCTTGATGACTGACGTTAAACTGACATTGTCTTCAAACTGATGTTATTGATTATTCATGTGAATCTATTTAAATGTTATTCCAGTCAAATTTGTTATTCTCCATCCGCTGTCGTCTTCCTTCAGTAATTACTAATTTGCACCCAAAGAAACTCCCAAAACTGAAGAGCTGTGTGATTTGAATATTCATTCCTCGAAGCCATATGTTCATAGACGAACCAAATCTTTATTTGCACCCGAAACTGACAGAAAACATTTTCTCAGGAAGGAAACAACCGCAGGAGATTTTTTTGCAACACTCGTGTTTACTTGTTCGCAATTAAAGGTGTTTGGAGCACCATCATTATCTGATTACATAAATTATATTTGCAAGCACTTGGGTTTTCTTACATTACAGATTACACTCGATTGGTGTAGTATATTTTATAAATGTTCCAGTGGTATCTTCTGAGCTGTGAATGTTGATGCATTTTAAAGTGTTGTTTTTTAACTGATGTCTAAAAATAGTTTATTCCTACAATAGTGTGTATTTTGTACCGGGTTGTGCATACTTCTGACGTACTTGATATATTGTCAGATTTAGATATAATTGATCATATTTTATATCAACGTCTGATTTGAAATCTTTGTTTTGATAGTTGTTGAGCAACTTAATAAAGAGTTTTAACAAACCATTGCATTCTTTTTGTGCTGTATAAATCTCCTACTAGCTTATATTAATTCAGTTAATATTATATATTATTAATATTTTTACAATAGTTCTGTCTGGTTCTCGAGTCTGACCGGCTGATTAAAAGCAATATCAGCACTTGTACAGCCTCTTCACCCTTGTGTATTACTCCACATACACGAGTGGCAAGCAGAGGACTACAGTTTGAAAAATATTGCAGCTGCTGGACAACAATGTACTTTTGAGGCTTTTAAAAGGTGAGAATGTGGTTTAGATTGCAAATATGTAGTTTATTTAAAAGAACAGTGCCTATTTTCAGCACGTTGGTGGCCATCAGCCTGTCATACTGAGCAGAGCATACTGAGGTGGGGACAGAGCCCACATAATAAGCCCTCAGAGGAGAACAACAGCATTTTTTTAAATGCATGTTTCAAACTACAGCTGAACAAATCATTGCAGAACAGCTAAGTGACATTCTTAAGACCATCTCTCTCTTTTGTATCTTGTAGTGTTGTATTTTAGTGCTGCATGATTCTGGCTAAAATGGGAAAAAAATAAAATAAAATAAAAAAAAAAAATCACAATTTTATTTATTTTTTTGCCTAAAATAAAGATCATAATTTTCTCACAATTCTGTAGATGTAAAATAAAGGCTAATATGACTGGGCTATTATTATTGTTATACTCAAACATGTGGTAAAACAGCAATACACTTTGTGTAGTTGTACCGTTGGTTAAAATGCTACATTTTGTTTAGACTTGGAATCGTGGACTTGAACAGACTTTAGATTTGTCCTGGTCATTAATGCTGATGATAATTCTGATGTTGAATTATTGTGTTTGAGACATATGCCTACAATCTGTAATTCTCTGCTTAAACACTGTCACTGATTTGATTTTCGTGAATGCAGAAGACTGGGTTGGTATTTTTGCATTTCGGCGAGTTTTGGATACTTTAAGCTGGAATCAGTCAGCTACATCTGGCAACACTGTGTGCGCTTGTGGTTTCATTTTCACTGCTAAGAGCGGTTCACTTAACACGCAGCTCCCAAACGATCACTCCGTGCCACAAACGGAATGTTATTTACAACTTTATTACCTGTTATTCACAGCCTATGCAGGTTCTGTTCACTAAAGTAAACTTCATTCAGAAGCGCGAGCGCCTCTCTGTGGTAACAGCTGACGGTCAGCTCACGTCACGTGTGACTTTGCGGTCCCAAATACATTACATAAAGACAGAAAAGATATTTTTGAGGTGAATTATACCTTATAAATACAGCATGTGACTCCTTGAACATCATTTAGAGGTGTCCACATTGCTGAACAATGTATGTAAAACAATGTGAAGGCTTGTGCGGCCACCAATGCTTCTCTCCTGAACTTGAAAATATTATTGAATCGTAGAAATGCTGGATTATGATCGTCTAGAGGGTCAACTCGAGATTGTGATCTTTTCACGATTAATTGTGCAGCTCTACTGTATTTATAGCACAGTAATTTGGTAGTGTTTGCTTTGGCTTTGCCGTGGATAACTATTGTGATATCCTGATTACAACAGAGAATTACAAGGGAATCTCTGTAGACTGATGGCATGTCATGCCGTTCAGCCTAATAATCTTAAAATGTCTCCAAAATCACCTGTTTTGTCATCATTTTAGACATTACGCTAGAAAATCATTCCAATACTAGCTCTAAGGTGATGTATGTGAATGAGCAACAGTTTCTGCTGTTCTGACGATCAGCTGCAGATGTGTATGATCGACAGAAGAGAGTAGTTCCTCTTACAAAACGGTTTGAGAATCTCCGTGTTTGATTTTCCTTTTTATATACTCGATTATGCCGTTGAACTGTTGTACTGTATAAATGCAATATCACACGAGTAGCAGTGCGTTATGGCTGTGCATCACCACCAGTGCTGATATAATATTAAACCACACTGAACTGAGCTGAACTGAACTTAAACTTTGAAAAATAAACTACACTGTTTCTATTTAATATGATCTTTTATGTGAAGCTGCTTTGACACAATCTACATTGTAAAAGCGCTATACAAATAAAGGTGAATTGAATATCACACCGCTACTCATATGATATTGCTCATATAAACTAGGGCTGCATAATACAATAATACAAGAAAAATCTGACATTGTGATATTTAATTTTGCTGCATTCTACACTTCGATATGAATATAATTTCACCAGCTGAATTGAATAGCTCTATTTGGAAAGATTTCCTTAATTTAGATCGACTGGGATGATCGAGTCTTTTTCTGTGTAGTGCATCTACTTAAAATATAATAAATTACATAAGCATATCTAAATAAAAAGAATGTGGAAGTAATCAGATAAAGAAATTGAGAAATCAAACAAACACGGTCATCATCATTGTATAAATAATAATAAAAAAATTATTAATATCGTTTCATCTTTAATAAATAATCTAATCCTGCAATGTGTTTATTGTGCATACACGCATTGCAATATCGATGATCAAAAGATATATTGTTCAACCCTAATTTAAACTAGTTTTATCAGGAGTCAAATCTGTTTTTCCTTTTATTGTGGTGTTTTATAGAGCTGCTAATGTTTAGTTTGTTTTATTTTCAATATTTCTTTTTTTTATTGCCTATTCATTGTCATTTGTTTGTTCATATTTACAATACAGATATTAGAATGTGAATAGGTCTACTTCATTAAAATGGCTAGCGTTATGCCCTTTTATTATTCATTTATTTTAGCTTAGTCCCTTTATTAATCAGGAGTCGCCACAGCGGAATGAACCGCCAACTTATCCAGCATATGTTTTATGCAGCGGATGCCCTTCTAGCTGCAACCCATCACTGGGAAACAACCATACACTCATTCACACACATACACTTTGGAAAATTTAGCTAACCCAATTCACCTATAGCGCATGTCTTTAGACTGTGGGAGAAACCGGAGCACCCGGAGGAAACCCACGCCAGCACTGGGAAAACATGCAAACTCCACACAGAAATGTCAAC